CAGCACCTCGGCCCCTCTCCTCAATCTCAATATCAACAGTTTCTTGAGATTCCGCCATTTGAGCACCTCACCCAAATCTAGCTTCCAAGAATCTCCGGCGAATCTGGCTACCACAGCCGCACTTGGTTACCACAACCAAGCCTTTGCCTTAAATTGCCTCCGTAGTCCACACCACGTGAACCTTACACGGATGTCACCTCACCTCTGAGATGAAAAACTGGTTCAACCCCGCGTGAACCTTGCTCTGATACCACTTGTCACGGGTCTAGTTTCGTTACACCCGAACAAACTAGAACCGTGCGGCCTTAACGTTCTACAATTCCCGCACCTCACGAGAAAACGTTAAGTCAGCCTTTCTACGCCCACAAATAATTTAATCAATGAGGCTAAATTATACCCACGTTGAGAAGAGAATTTTGAAGTAAGTAATATATGGAAAACAAGTAAAGGATGGGGAAACTTTTTTTATATAAATGAAAGGAAAAACTTTACAATCTCTCTTGAAAGAATAAACTCACTCACTCTACATTCTCTACCATCTACTACACACTATTTACAAATGAGACTACACCTCTATTTATAGGAAAACTTAAACCTCCTTAACCTTCAACTTTACAACTTGCGCTTAGTTGTCACCACCTCGTGCTTAGTTGTCGCCAACTCATTCTTAGTTGTCTTCAAGTGGATGGTATTACAACTTGGCCTTGCAAGTTGTCGCCAACTCGTGCCTAGCTTGCATACAACTCGCGCCTAGCTTGCATCGTTGATATTTATCCTTGCCAACTCGCGCTTAGCTTGCATACAACTCGCGCTTAGCTTGCAAGTGGCACACATGTGGACAAGTTGTGCAAGTTGCCAACTTGCATCCTCAAAATATCCGGCTGCAGGTTCATGTATTTTACCTCCCAAAATGGCTAGGTTGAGACTTAGAAAAACCTCATTAATACCCAAAAAAATGCATGATCTAGGCAGCCTGCATTCTGTCCCAAAACAGTCCACTTGCGTCCCCAGCCTGAATCTGCCTGCATCCTTTGCCGAATCTGCTTGCGTCCCCTATCGCAAGCTGTTCCGTCCTTCTGAAACGCGTTACCCGCGCTATCTTGCGATCGCTACCGGGACGAATCGGTCACGACCGCGTGGCGTCAGTTACTCCCCCACTGAATTTGGCGACGCACTCATCGCCTTGTACCGCCGAAGCATAGACCTTATTTGCCATAAGTCTATCTCGTTTTCTCACCTTGTGCCATGACATTCCCATGTCATGCCAAACCTTAAGTCATGATCTTGCGATCCGTGACACTACGCTCTGGATACATTAGCATGGGATAACATTATAGGATTTCGGTCCTATTACGTTGGCTTTCGGGATCGGAGCAATGATTAACAGGAACAGTCGGGGGCATTCGTATTTCATAGTCAGAGGTGAAATTTTTGAATTTATGAAAGACGAACAACTGCGAAAGCATTTGCCAAGGATGTTTTCATTAATCAAGAATGAAAGTTGGGGGCTCGAAAACGATCAGATACCGTTCTAATCTCAACCATAAACGATACACGTCTTTATTTTGATGGGATTTTGCTAATCTCCTTATAATGTCCTTTGTTTAAAGTTCAAAATATTTAGTAAATCATTTGTGTGACGTGTACAATTTTTTAAGTATCATTTTCTTGGATCATATTCTCGATCCAAAATCTTTCCTCCTTAGCTAAACCTGAGATCTCCAAAACGACGTCGCAAGTAGCTTTATTTATTTATTCTTTGCCCTTATTCTTCTTTTTCCCGTCCCCGTTTGGAATTTCCCTCTGGAAAACAGTTAAACCAGTAATCAATTGCGTAGCCCAAAATAGCCATAGAGAGATGGAATATTTACTCCCGACATTGAGGAAGAAGCAAGAAGTGGATGCCATAATCAGAGACACCATTGACAAAGTACTTGTCCTCCGGTTCGGGCGCTCCTCCGACGCCGTTTGCTTGCAGCTCGACGACATCGTATGTTCTCTCATCTTATCCCTCTGTGTAACAACAATAATTTTCAAGATTAATTAATCAAAGTAATTTGCTAATTTTCAAATCTGTGATGACCACCAGTTATATAAGTCGGCAAGAGATGTGTCGAAATTCGCGACTGTGGCGTTAGTGGACATAGATTCGGATGAGATTCAGATTTATTTAAAGTATTTTGACATAACGCTGATTCCATCTGTAGTTTTCTTCTTCAATGCTCACCACATGAAGATGGATTCTGGGTATGAATGTCTCTGTGATTCTAATATAGTATAGACTATGGTGTGTATTGAAATATATTCTGTTGGCTTCAAATTATTGATGGAAAAAAAAAAAGGAAAAAAGAAAAAAGAGAACCTACAGGGTGCTGGGACGAGTTGAAGGAGGAATTCCTAATTCTAACGCAGATAATTAAACTCAAAGAAAAAGAAAAAAAAAAAAGCATAAAAAGTGAAAATAAGGGCACCTTGAATTTAAGGTGGAGTAGAGAAACACAGCTGGGACTTTATGTCCTCGACTCTTGTGATAATTTGTTGACATGATATTCTGATCAAATTGATCCATGTAATCTATTTAAGGTATCTTCTCGTCCAAAACTCTTGCTTTTGGTTGTTGAACAATTCATATAGACTTTTGACAATAACATTTTTGGCTTGCTCATATTTGTTCTCCACCTTTCATCGTCTTGTTTTTTGGTGAAGGAGGGGACGAGAGGGAGAGGTATAAGACTATATAAGTCACTGGCAATATCAATTAACAACTAACCTGTCTTGCCACTTCTTATGTGGTCTTAATCCTTTACACATGCAGATATGTTCTTGGATTTGATTTTTGAGGTTGGAGTTACATTTTTTTAACTCTTGCAGGAGTGCAGACCACACTAAGTGGGTAGGTAAATTTCAGAGAAAACAAGACTTTGTAGATGTTGTGGAGGTACACTTCTACTTAATACGGGAATCTTGAACGTCGCAGATGGATCGAACATGATATATGGGCTTTTACTTCCTACTTATAATTATGTGTACTACAGATTAAGATGTCTTGTTTGGTGTACTTAAGCTTCAAGCTTTTAGCCCATAATTGGCTAACGTTTATGAATAATTTATAATCGGTCAAATTACTTTTTATCCATACATTTTGTGTCACCCACAAGTATTATCTACTTATCTATAACTCATTTTTATCAATTTATAATTTAAACTAATTATAAACAACTTCCTTAAGTAATTGAGTACGTAACATTATGCTGCAATTCTTACCACATTAGGAGAGTTGTGATGATGCAACATTCTAGGAAGCGAAAGCTTAAGACACAGGTCATGGCCTATGAAGGGAGTAGAAGTCGGTAACTCTGGCCTCCATCGACCACATTCATTAAAATATTAAAAGGAAACTTAACTCTGGCTTCCATCGTCTACATCATTAAAATATTAAAAGTATGCTTAACTCTGGCCTCCATCGACTACATTCATTAAAATATTAAAAGGATACTATCTTCTTTCTTATGTTGGAGACTGTTTGGGAAGTGAGTTACTTGGAAGCACAACCCTAGGGTAAAACTACTAGAATCTTAGGTGACCAATTATATATAATGTTTCACGTTTTTATTTGGATTGATTGTCAGTAACTATTAGCTCATTTTACTTTTCTTTTTTGAAATTGCAAAGGTTGTACAAGTTAGCAGCCAATAGTTTTCCTAGATATCTGCTGAAACTTTTTCTTGTATATTAGTGTTTTGGTGAAGCATTTGTCACTGTTGTTGTTCTTGTTAATGGATATATGATGCTATGCTTGCAGGCAATATACAGAGGCGCGATGAAGGGCAAACTCATAGTAAGTTGTCCTCTGCCTCCTGAGCGAATACCAAAGTTTGAGCTGCTGTATAAAGATGTGTAGAGGCTTCCTATTAGGTTGACTTTTCCTTGTCAAACAGGGCCAATTGACAGGCCCTGTTGACAGGGCCGGGCCCTTGATTTGAATCCGGCGGACCCCATGTGATGCAAGATCGAGGGCCTAGTTGCTGCCACCTTAGGGCAGCACCTCGACAGGGCCTGTCAATTGGCCCTGTCTATATAGCAGGTCTCAATTAGGTTTTCTAGAGTTTATAGTTTCATATAACAAAACTGCTGCGTTGTTTGAGTCTTTCATTGAAATTTCTGAATTTTAGCAGACAAGTTTTCACATTCCTGAAGTTTGAAGGTGAAATGGCCTCTGGATTCAAGTGTCCAGCTTGAACCTCTTTATGTTTGAACTTTATTTTGCTGGCGTGCATGTCAATAGATCAGTTATTATTTTCAGAATAATCATGCTATATGTAGATTCTTTTTGACATCATGGTTGACAGCGTGCCATGTGGCGACACATGATTGGACAGTTTAAAAAAAAAAAAACACACTTCTCCTTCAACACTCTTTGAATTCCCACACGATGTACACAGCAAAGATGTAACCCATGAAATGTATACTCTCTTTTTGGAAATGAGTGTTAAACCCTAGAGGATAAATGTAACAGAAATGGTAACGATAGGACTCATGTGTGACCTGTATTATTGTATATTTGATTGCTAATTATAATAATCACTTTTTATTATTTTATTTCGTCAATCTAATTGATTTTTCGTAACTTTATGAATTATGACGTGTAGAGCCGACTATGAGACTTTGGGTGTCCTGTGCGAGATTTTAAAATAGTGGCATGGTGCCCCCTTCAAATAACTAAAACAAATATATATATATATAAGAAAAACATAAATAAAGTTTAAAAGCATCTTTCGAACTTTATCAAAATTCATATGTCATTAGCAAAGAACTGTCTAAGCCACTAACCTCTTCGTGAAATTTTATATAAGCAAACCTTGGAAAAAAATATTATTCAGTGGTAAAACTTGAAAAGCAACAAATCGTTTACAAATATTTCTTCTGGCATTTTTAGAAGCAAATTCACTAATTGAACTTTCGTAATCAACATTTTTTAAAAAATCTTGCTCAATAGATGTCAAAGTTAATACATTCAATCGTTCTTATAACATGATTGATCACGAATAAGATTTTAATAACTTTAATTTTGAAAAATTTCTTTCAACAGATGCAACAGTAACAGAAATTGTCAATAATATTTTATAAGCAATTCATGTATTCGAAAAGCAAACCAATCTTTTCATATAAGTCAATATATCAAAAGTCGTCTTTATTTCTTTTGGTAAGAGATTTCACGAAACTTTTAACTCTTGAAATAAAATTAATATATATTTTAAATATTTAATTATAAATAAATATACAACTATAATAAAAAAAAATTTTGGTGCCCTTACAATTTTGAGGCCTTGTGCGAACTGGCCGCCTCTGGACACGTGAATATTGAATTGTTCAATGTTAAAATTGATTAAAAAACGATTTTTCTTGAAATTATCGTGTTTATTGTGCATCTTCATGTAGTTCTCGAATGGACTATTCATGCATTGTAGGGGTCGTTTCTTCTTTATTTATGCTTTTTGACCTGTCGTTATCTCTCATAGATTCTTTGCCAAGAATCACCTTCAACAACTTTGTTTAGTCCTGTTGGCTCTTGATATTGCTTTTGCTTTAGCTTTTTGAAGAAGGTTTACTAACTCTCTCTCTCTCTCTCTCTCTTTAATATAAATTATGTATGTTGAAAAGTTGCCCTCAGGCACATCTCCAAGTGGTAAAAGGGGAGGGTGGAGAAATCTAACTTTGCTTGAGGCTGCTGCGTCAAGGGTTCGAATCCTGAAATATGGATTTGGCTCTTGGGTAAGTGCAAGTGTATAAGCAGCCTTCCACCCCATACCCTTGGAGGCATAATCTGCGATTTACCTCCCTCACGATACTCCAGGACAGGGGTGGTGAGGGACCCTTAAGGTTAGGGTTTAACCTTTTTTTATGTATGTTGAAAAGCAATTTCTTCTAGTAAAGACTTTTTAAAAATCTATAAAAGTCTCGATTAAATATATCAATATTTCAAGAAGTTTTCAAAAGCCTATATTAAATATCCCTAAATTTTTTAAATCATAAAAGGTTTCAGAAACTAAATTTAATACACTTCCTTTTATCTCATAAACAACTTGACTTTTCAAAAATCTTATCAAACAGATTATAAAACAATTTGATCAAATTTCAATAATTCAAGGTACCGGAGTAGGTCAAAATCTCAACTGATTGGTCATGAGACTCGAATAAGATCTTTTGTGTAATCCATGTAGCACGTTAATAAATATGATACAAGGTATCTCTCAATGAAAAAGGAATGCCAACCATATGACAACTACATCTTTAATAAAAACACTCAACTTCAAGTATCACGCAAGAATATTTGAACAACTTGATAAATATGGAATCCAATTCACCGTTTGCCCATTTATTACATGAAATCGACTTCAAATAAAATCTTGTGACTTTTGAGGAAATAGATATGTTTTCTTTTTTCCTCAATGAATTCTATGGTTACACAATTTACACTAAGATGTTAGAAAGTAGGATGCAAATTTTTATTCATGTACCACTCTCGATACTTGATTGGTTCCGTAAGTTTGCAAATGAGTACTAGTACTTTTTTGTTTAAATGAAAATCATAAAAGACATTGACAGTGAAAGTATGTATAGTTTAAATTGAGGGGTGCAACCACTTAAACGGTCAAAAATTTAGTTGACAAGAAGTGCACACCTAACCATTTGGTAATGACTAATTTACTTCAACTATAATAAATAATTATAAAATTGAATATGAGATAGTATAATATTCAGGCCATTTTCACACAAATTTATCATAACATGACAATTATTAATTTGGTACGATATTTTCTTAACAAAAATAATATATTTCATTAATATAAACACATATTTTCGTATAAATATATTTAAATTTTGCACACCACTATCTTGAAATTCTTCGAATTAGGGTAAGTTCATAGTCTTTTCATGTATCGTACTTCAAATTGTTGATAATTAATTCTTTGCATTCTTTGTTTTTTATTAATTTATTTTGATCATAGTCGAGTCGGGACCAATCCAATCGTACGTTAATATTTCAGACACCATTTTTTCAGAGTCTATTTGACACTCATTTTTATGAAAAAATGAATTTTAGAACAGTAAATTAATGAATAATGTATAGATAAAAAATAAGAATTTTTTTTACATGTAATATTATTTTAATGAAAAATGTGTGATAAAAAAAAGAGACAAAAACATATATATATAAAAATGAGAATTAAACGGAGACTCAACGTCAAAAATTAGAAAAATAGTTAAATATTAGCATGTCTTTTCATAAAATTAGCCTAAAATGTTTTTTCCGAAAGAATCTTCGTTTCGCCACAAGAAAATCTTACACGGGCCGGGCCCTTCGGCGTATACTACGATCTCCTGACTCCTGCTCTTTCCGTTTCCAGTACCCATTCACCCACTCTCTAGAACGTGGAACCCGTAAACTTCCTCTCTCTACCTATACTTATATCCATCCTGTATGTATGTTCTCTGAGGGTTCTGGAAGTTTCTGTAGATCTTGATGGATAAACGGCAGAGTGCTCCGATGAAGACTGATGAAGCAAGCTCGTCATCGGATAGTCAAGAGTTGAAGTCTAGTAACGTTGTTGATAGTGATGGTGTTGGTGGTGGTGGTGATGCTGCGCCAATTTCCAGTTTAGGCAGTAAGATTTCAGGTAGACAGTCAATTTCTTGAAAAATCGAAAATTTGAAATTTACGAGTGGTATTGTTAGTAATTGGAGTTACAAGAGAAGGTCATTTTGAATTGTGATGATTTTGTTTGATAATTTGGTAATGGTTTAGGGTGGAGTGATGCTGTCAGATAATTATGTGAAGTATTGGAAGTGTTTTCAGTTAATTTAATTGAAACTTATTGACTCGAAGTGGCTGTAGTTGTATGATTTGCTTCTCATGATTTCACAAATTCAATTACTTGGAAAATTTGAAATTGTGGAATTTGTAAGTAGCAGGAGATATTGAGTTTTGGTGGTTTTTTCTGTTTGAGAATTTGTTAATGGTTCATGAGTGGAGTAATTATGTGCGAAGTTTTTCCTAATGTTTTTAGATAATTTAAATTGAATTTCTTGGAATGGATGGAGTTTATGATTTTATTTATTTCACATGGTAGGGAGTGGAGGAGGGAATTTTTCTAGAGTGAACACAACGCCTCCGAAAATTTTGAGTTCTGATATATTAGAGCCAGTTCCAAGTGAATTCAACTTGGAAAGATCGATAACTGAGGGGCAGAGACATAATGTTATACTTGCCGAAGACGCTGCACAAATTTTTGATGAAAAAATTACTGACCATCAAAAGGTAAGGATTCTCACATGTTTTCACTTTTAGGCGGTTTGGTATTATTGTAGGTTTTAAAAAAATAAGTTTAGCCGTGCTGAAGAAAGAGTCAACTACGGGAAGAATCAATAACATATGGATGAATCAGTTAAGTGTTTAATAAACTTTTGCATTAGAACAACCTGTAAGTTTAAAATCAGCAGTTGAGCATTTTATTAATAAAGGTACTTTATTGTTGTGTCTGTTAAGCGTTTCTGTATTATTATTGTTGTCAGTATTTTATAACATTTAATATTATTAAATTTTTGTCTAAGACAATGTAATCACCGTGTTATTTTTGAAGGAAAAAAAATCTGTTTTATATCAAAATTAAAAAATTTTGAAAAAAATAACATCCATGAAATCATATCTTGAATTTTAATCCGTCAATGGCCAAGAAAAGAAGAGTGGAAGAATGTTTTTAATGTGAATGATGGATGAAGCTATATTATTGTAGAATACTAATAAATGTAGAATATTAACAAATTTAAGACAAGAAAGGAATTAATTATATTTATAAGGGTTGAAATTGGTCTTCTAATGATGGATAATTGGATAAGTTAAAAAGTCTACCTTTTGTTACTTCTCAAAATATGCTAACACCAGATGGTTCAAATTGTTCTATAATTGGTTTTTCTCATTAAGTTTACCAGACTCCTTAAATACATGTAATTGTTTGACAATCAGAAGTTGGGACTTTAAAAGCAATCCCAAAATGGGGCGATAATCTTTTTGTCATTGCTTTTGATACTGGTTGATGCAATTCTTTTTGATGACCTCTTTGTAATAGCTTACAATATCCTGAAAACAACAAGACATTAAGCTTATTCTCCATAAAAGATTCTATGTGAATTCATTTTCCCCATAATCTTTGATTCGGAGTTTTCTGTTACAGAAGAATGAAATAAAATACCCTGTTCATTTTGATATATCCCTTCACTAGCTTGTTTCATTAGGAGCTTTTGTGAATAACTGTATTGGGTCTATGAGAGACATACCTTAACCATCCATGTGGCTCTTCCCTTAATTTTAGCTTATTTGCTCGCACCACCAAATTATTTTTGTATAGCACATTTCATCTGTTTGTAGTGTGACCAACCACAAAGTACAATATGATGCAGGATAAGGGATGATTCCTGCAGAATAATTAGAAATAGCAAAATAGCACAACTAGCAAGTAGAATTCCAACGAGAAGAAGAAGAAGAAGGCAGCAAGAAGGGGGAAAGGGCAGGAGAGAAAGGGGGGAGAAAACCAGAGAAGAAGTAGAAATCAGGGGAAAGGGGAGAAGGAGGAAGCCATAGGCAACAACCCAAGCATTCTATTCTTTAATTCATCAATTCATCAACTGTCTCAAATACGTAACAAAACAGAAATAATTAACAAAACAAAAACCCTAAAGAGAAGGGCTGGAGCCAAGCCCGCTAAACAAGCCCAATAACAGAAATATAAATAATAATTCAAATAGAATATAACTAATAGTCCAAATAGAAAATAAATAGTAAATGAAAGAAAATAAATAGTAAATGGATATCCGCATCAACTCTCCCGGGGTAGGAGAAAAACTCGACCCCGTCGAGTGGATAAATCAAAATTTTGCAATGAATCTGATGCTAAAGGCTCCAAGTCATGCCATGGGGGACGATCTTTCTGATGAACCAAATATCGAAATTCCACAAATGATGACGACGTCAATTGCAAAATACCCGTAAAAACATGAGCTGACCAAGATAACTTAGGCGAATGAGAATGTTGCTGACTCTTATAAAGCTCCAATGAATTTTGCTCACGCTGCTGAAGTCTCTCTTTGGGAATCCATGTACTGTCAGAATCAAGTCGATCCATCCAACGAACAAGAAAGCACTGAATCTTTCTATCATTGGTCAACACAAGCTGTTCATCCAAAATAACACCAATTTTATTTTTGTGTGCCGTGATAGGTGGGATTGAAGCAGATATGGCAAAAGATTTAGTGTAGGAATTCTCATGTGGGAGTAGAAACGGGTCATCAGAGGGGCTAAAATAGCCGTTGTAAGCATCGAAGTCCGTAACAAATAAAATAGGGTGGTGGTCATAATGTGATACAAATGTCATTGACATAGGTATTTTGACCAACATGCTTTGAAATTTTAAAAAGACCGGCATTACACGCTTGCAATATAACATAATCCCCAATATTAAATTCAAAGTATTGTTTATGCCAATCAACTTGAGGTTTATATAATGCTTTACTTGCTTCAAATTGCTTATTGATCTCAATATGCAAGCTATGAAAATGTGATACAATTACCTCAACTGACATAGACACACAAGCATGTGGGTGCATGGGAATAAGGTTTAGAGGTTTCAAAGGTTCACAACCAAGAATAACTTCAAAGGGTTTTAGACCTAAAGACCAGTTCACAGGATCGTTATATGCAATTTGAACAATTGGAGGGATCAAGTCCCAATTTTCAAGATTTTTCTGGACTAGAGACTGTAATAAATTATCAGGATTTTGGTTAGCACTTTTGTTTTGACCATCAATTTGAGGTTGGTCAGTGGTGGATAATTTTGTCTTAGTATTAACCACAGGCGATTGGATTTTCCAAGGGTGACTGGTGACATCGTCAAGCTCTTTAACTTGGGTAAGGGTATGACATATAATATGTGATCGAGAATTGTCAGAGATAAGGGGTATAGTATCCAAAGTCTTGGGAAGAGTCTGGATTCCACCTAAGAAAGTGTCCTCACTATCATCCAGATCATCAGAATTTTCAAGTTTAGGTTCATAGACTAGATCTTCCAACGGCTCCTCTATTACATTCTTTCGTTCTTCTATGACTAAGGTTCGATTAGGATATTTAGAAGAAATGTGACTAAAATCTTTACAGTTGATGCACAACAAGTGAGAAGAAGACCTTGGAGTTTCAGAAATTCTACCTTGATTTTCCAAGATTGGAGAACCATTAGAAGGGGGAGGTCCTAGAAGGGACACGGAAGGAGGTGGAGCCAATGAAGCCAAATGATGATTATAAAAAATGTTACCCTTATTTTTCAAAATTGGAGGAATATCAGACGGAGGAGGTCCTAGAAGGGACTTAACGGGAGGAAGTGGAGCCAGTGACACCGAAGGATGATTGTCAATATGCTTTCTACCTGGAGAAGAAGATCTTGGACTATCACGACCTTTACAATTATTTTTCCAAATAGGAGGAACATTAGACGGAGAAGGTTTTATGATAGACTTATGTTAAGGCGACGCTAATGAGATGGGTAAACGACGATGACCACGCTTTTCATATGGAGTACTAATAATCAACTCATAATCTCGAGCTAAAGAGTAAGCGTGATTAAGAGTAGCGACACCTCTAACGAAAAGCTCGCGCTTAAGATCATCTCTCAGACCTTGGCTAAACCTACTCAAAGTCGTGCTCTCATCCTCAATTAAATGACATTTGGTTCGAAATTCCTCAAATTGCGCGATATACTCAGTCACTAATTGATTTCCTTGTTTAAGGGCATTCCATTGAGTAAGAATTTCAAAATTATCTCGTTCTCGCTCACAAATTTGATCCCTATTCCTATCCTTATCCTTACGATCGGGTCGAAAGTATTTTTGATTACCTTGTCGACGATGCTGTCTATTATGGGACACCTTAGAATTATCAACATCAATTGAATGAGGGATGTGTTTAAAATTTTTCAAACTAACAGACAGGGCCTTACTCTCTTCAAGAGTAGCGGTCATTTGAGTTTGAATAGTCGCTATTTGTCGGGTAAGTGCATCGAATTGTGAGGGATTCATGTTTAATGTACTAGAGTTAGAAGTGACAAGATGACCAATATGTAACTACATGCACTGTAATAGCAACTTAATGACATGCAATAGAGAGATCAACGAACAAAAAGTGCAAGTAATGGAAAATAAAAATTTGAACTATTTTTTTTTTTAATTTAAATTTTGGGATTAAAATTATATACAACAAGCTAGTACTGTTGGTATATGTAAAATAATAAAGCAATGATCAAATACTAGTCAAAACCTAATCACGTAAAATAAGCAGGTTAAAGTGAGATTTAACGAGGTCAATGGATCCAATTACGTGAGTTTAGATAAAAATAGATCAGCAGCAGCACAAAAATTTAATTGATGCAATTTTAAAATGAAACAGTAATATAAACCAACAATAAATAAAAGCAAGAACTTCCCTTTCGTTCGTCGAAGTAGTCAAGCCAGATCAACCAGAATAAAAGATGTACCTGTAAATAATAGAAAAGACGTTTCTTCTCTCTTTTTTTTTCTTTTTTTTTCACTTTTTTTTTGGGAACTGCAGAAAATGATAAATAAAAATTAAAAAAAAAAAGAAATTTCGGGTGTGAAGAGTACCCGTGAACAGTAACTTTTTTTTTTGTGAAACTGCTGAAAAATCTATAAAAAAAAAAAAACTAAAATTCCGGGTGTGAACAGTGACTTTTTTTTTTTTTTGCCTAATCAACTAGAAAGAAAATTGAACAAGAAAACTGCTGTTTCATAACAATTTTTTTTGTTTGTGTTGTTCCACAAGTTTTTGGGAAGAGGATAGAAAGAAAGCTTTAGATTGTGGATGAAAAATTATCCAAATTTTGGCTCTGATACCACTTTGATGCAGGATGAGGGATGATTCCTGCAGAATAATTAGAAATAGCAAAATAGCACAACTAGCAAGTAGACTTCCAGCGAGAAGAAGAAGGCAGCAAGAAGGGGGAAAGGAGAGGAGGAAGCCATAGGCAACAACACAAGCATTCTATTCTTTAATTCATCAATTCATCAACTGTCTCAAATACGCAACAAAACAAAAATAATTAACAAAACAAAAACTCTAAAGAGAAGGGCTTGGGCCAAACCCGTTAAACAAGCCCAATAACAGAAATATAAATAATAATTCAAATAGAATATAACTAATAGTCCAAATAGAAAATAAATAGTAAATGAAAGAAAATAAATAGTAAATGGATGTCCGCATCACAATAGCTATATTGTATCTCTATCTTCAAATTCCACATGATCACCACTCAAGCACCCACTTTAATTGTATGCATTTGACCCCTTTAACTTTTCGATCCTTGTTAGTAATTGAACCTAACAAGTAAAGAAATGCTTTTTTGGGAAGAACATTCCTGTATCTTAACTCTATTATCTCCTGATTCCCCAATAAATTGTATGCATTTCACCCTCATTCATTTTCAATTCCTTATTAGTAATTGAACCTAGCTGGTAAAGCAATTGCTTTTGGGGGAAACATGACCCTGTATCTTGACTCTATTATCTTCTGATTTCCCTCTATTGCGAAAGAATATACCATCACTTTGGTCTTAATTTTACTTAATCTAAGGCCATTAAGTCCTGAGGTACTTCTTCTGACTTGCAATTTATTCCCCGCTGTCATCATTAATTGAAGTCATATCATTACCAAATAATATATGCCAAGTTATCTAGTCTAGGATAAGTTACTGAGATTAATTTATGCTATAGTACAAAGATAAGGACTTTGTCCCATGGTTACTGATGTGAACCTGAATAGCTAGATTGCTATTAAACCCACAAAAGAATGACACAAATCCCAAGAAAGCCGGAGAAATCAAAGTTTATGGAATTTAACCCAAAAATTAGTGAACCAAACAATCAATACAATCACACGGATATATTGACCTTTTGATTTCACAATTAAAGAAATCAAACCCGGAATTTAAAGATTGACCCGAAGAATTAAATGAACCAGAAACCAAAGCAATTACTAGAATATCTTGACTCTGTGATTGCACAACTCATGAATCGCACTTTGATTGGTGAACACCACGAGAAATTGTCTCGATAAGTTCGATAATTGTTCGCGAAGAACAAGAAAAGAAGCAACCTTGCCTCTGATTAATTCAAAATATCAAAAGTCTTCTAATACAAAAAAGAAATAAATTCCCTATTTATACTAGAAACTTTTAAACCCTAGATAATAATTTAAAATGGAATTAAACTCTAAAAGTCTTATTTTAAAAAAGTAAACACGTCCAAATGATGGTAAAGATATCAAAAGGTAAGAATTCTAATTGCATAAGGTAACTACCAAAAATTTGGAATTCCCATCCAAACATGTCTCTATGCAAATCACATCAGTTACTTAAGTTGCACCTGTTACCTATAGTTTCTGGAATAACAATTCTGCAGTTTAATGACATTTGGTTGCACTAGATGGCTTGGGTTCGAGTTCCCGTATTTGTCGGCAAAACTTCAGTTATACATGGATTAGGCTTTATGGAAGCCGATGATTTTTAATTTTTTGTTTGTGAGTTCTTTCCATCGGAAAATTAATATGGTGAATGCTTACAAAAATAACAAAGAATCAGTTTCCTTTTTTTTTGGGCCATTACTCAATTTCATACTTTAGTGTCGATCACCTTTTAATATTGTGTAAACTATTCTTGTATGGACTTTAGATCTATTATCTAATTTAGTTACATTAATTTCATCAGTTAAATGTCTCATTACAGACCGAGAGTTTTCCATTGTACTAACATGCCTTGGGTCTCATTAAATGTTTAAAACACTGCAGCTCAAATTATTGAAGAGAATAACTACTGTCAAACATGATGGAACTGTAGAATTTGAAGTTTCGGGAGATGTTGGACCCCAAACTGTAGGAACTGGTCATGATAGTGTACATAGTGAACTTGATGAAGAACCTCTTGATACAACAGAGCTTCAACATATTCCTCCATTGCAAATTGTAATGCTTATTGTTGGAACTCGCGGGGATGTTCAACCATTTCTTGCAATTGGCAAACGACTACAGGTACTTTCATTTTAATGTGTAAGCCTTTGATTTACTAGCAAAAATCCTTGAACAAACCTTCAGTCTTTAAAGCACCTTCCTGTTAAATTAGAAAAGTGAAAGAAAGGACAAAGCGTAAAAAGGAAGAGAATACTTTTATGTTGAAAACTATCGTTCAGATATTTAGATAGCTTTAGAAAAATTGGACAAATCAGGCACTTTTAACGGCTTGACTCTTAAATAGTGTTTTAAAGTTAATTAATCGACAAAACATTTTAATTAGGATTAGTGGTCTTACATGCGTGCAAAATCTTCATTAGTAGCCATAAAATGCCTCTTCCAGTGCTCAGGATGGATGCAATTATGCAAATCAGCACAT